AAGATAAAAACAAGAAGGATTACATAGTACTTATCAGATACACTTCCAAGGTCACAGATACATGGCTCTTTGATTGTGAAGACACAGGCCATTGTATCACAACGTATGTGAGCTCTCAACCCTGCTCAGTGAGGGAAGGGTGCTGGTGCACCCAGGGCACTGTACAAAAAAATGGTTAGTCCATTACATGGAATCTGTGTGAATACACATCTCAAATTCCAGAGACAGCATGTGTCAAACACATGAACCACATGAGTGTACCAGGTGAGTCTGTGGGAGACTGATGAACAATCTGTGAGCACACAAGGCTTTTGGACATTCAAGTGGTGAGTCCATTGTAAGGTTTATGGTGGAGAGTAAGGGAGAAAACAGGCAAGCAGTGAATTAGAGGGAGAAGGTGTACACAAGGGTTAGCCCTGGTGACTTGGTAGTTAAGGGCAAAGGAACACTCAAAATATGACAGAGGAAGGGTTGTCTCAACAAAGTAGTTCTTGCTGCTGTTAGGTAGTGTCAAGTCAACTATGACTCATAGTAGTGCTTTGAAGAAGAAATTGAAACTGTCCTATCATGAAAGTAGAGTCAACTTTAATGACATTAATGATACAAAGCTTTTGAGACTTTTCATTTGTTGATGTGACACCACTCAAAATGAGAAGAAACAGCTGCAAACATCTGTCAATAATTGGAATGTAGAGTGATGCAAGGAAACTTGGAAGTTATTAAAAGTGAAATGGAATGCGCAGAGATCCACAGGATATGGAGATTCATATATAAACATGAGATAATTTTTAATTCATAAACATATGGTCTTCTACTGTTCTATCTCCTTCATCGTCATGCTAATCCAGGTTACCTTCACATCACAGCCAAACTACGTGGAAAAACTATAAACAAAAATATGACCACTCTACTCCTCTCATGAAATATTTTAATGATTTCTCACCATTAAAGGAATAAAGTTCAAAATTCTTGCCACTATGTTTAATGTTTCTCTCATCTAGGAATACTCTTGCACTGGCTTATTTTTCTTTATTGTGCAATTTTCAATGCACAAAGAACTGTCCTAGGTATAGTACCCTTTGCCTAACCCTCTTTTCACTGTCTTCTGTCCATGATTTTCCTCTCATCACTTGTCTTGTCTTACATATGCATAACCTTTCTGTGTGAATTTTGCAAGGTAGACTCTTTGTCCGATCAGGATTCTGTTTTATAGTGAACTTACTTGTCACCTGAATGTCTTGTTCACTAAGTATCTTCCACACCCAGCACAGAATAGATACAAACCTACTACCACTGAGTTCAGCATGAGACTGGAATCCATTCTGAAAGCCATCTACAGGAGTTGGATTCTACAGAAGCTTGTTGGCTGGGATTGGTGAGCACAGGGTGGAAAGTTGATTTGCGAAGGGGCGTGAGGCAATGTGATAAGGCCTCCTCGTTAAATATCCTTTTGGTTGGCAGCATGGGGCAGGAACCCATTTTGAAAGTCATCTACATTCTTCTAAGTGGTATAGCATTGGTCTGTGCATTGCTGAACAGAGGTAACTCGTGGTGCTATGATGCTAAACACCGACATGCTGATGTGTCAAATGTGATAATGGTTATCCATGGTGAACAGTGTTTGGTGGAGCTCCCTGATTAAAACAAGCTTTGAAGCAGGAGTGGCATCCGCTTCTGAAATAGCTTGCCTCCAGAAACTCTATGAACATGGAGAAATGACCAAAGTTATACAAGTGTTCAGGTCTTTCGTTCAT